AACATTTATTACTCCAGGATGCAGGATAAGTTGTCAAGGATCTTTCTATGGGCAGAAAGACTAGTTTCTACTCAAGTAGAATTAAGTAGGTCTCTGTTGCATTGCTCTTTGCTCATTGAATCTGCTTCCTATGCTTTACCAGAAGGAACAATAATTCCCTGTGGATACATAACTCTGTACTGATGACAGGTTGGCTGGGAATAAGATCTGGATGAAGGAAAATTTCACATAGACATTTCATTCTTGAAATTTTCTAAGATTAATGCAGAAATAAGATCGCAATTGATAGGAAATATCTAGCCACTGTAGCATCCCCCAAAAAGAATGCTACTGAGAATGAGTGATGTTGACGATTTGATTTCTTACCTGCCCTTTACCACAAAGTTCCAAGGCAGGTTACAGTTGCAATTTAAAATTTTGATATTAAAAATCAGTTTAAAAACAAATACAATCAATATATCTCATGTGTCAAAGGTAAAGAGGTGTGTCTTCAGTATGCAAGGACACTACATAATTTCTTTTTTATATAGAGAGAGAGTTACAAGCTTGGTAGGATCAGGGGGATACTGTGGACATAGTGTGGAAGACAAGAGGTGTTAGCAGACCTTTAAGCTTGGGTGGATTAGATTAGAATAATCAGTATCTGGAATTCAAAGGTTTTATTCAGCAGGAACTATTTTACAGGATGCATGGAGATAAAAGGGAAGAAATAGAAGACATGTTGTCTGGAGAGTAAACAAAATGACTCAGCTTTTAGGGGTGGAGTTAACTTAGACAGAGAGCTACCAACAAATGCTGGCTAGATTGCTACACAAACAGGGCCCTCTGGTTGTTTACAGCAACACATGCATTAACAAGAAGCTTAAGAGAAGAAAATGCATTTACTTTCCTTCAGCAATAGAGTGTATCCTCCTAGGAAAATCCGGTGAAGTTCCCCTTCAGTTCTGTAATCCTAGGGTAACTGACGATTGGAGCAGATTGTTCTTTCTGGCAAGAAAACAAATTCATTGCAACTGTGGCTTCTTTGGCCAATGGATGGAATCCAGCCAAGTCTACACAACCCTTACCAAAATGTGAAATCTCTTGCAAGTAAAAATCATATACAATATTCAGGTTTGTCTTTTTACTTTGTCTGGACTACATATGTAAGAGCTTACTACTTCAAGAGGCAAATGAAGAAATTATCATGTGCAGGATGAGGATAAGAGTCACTTTGCAGAAGCAAACTCTCTGAGAATTGGACCAAAACTGTAGTCTCATTTTACACTGTTACAAGGTGTGTGTCTGAACCCACATACACGCCTACCACACATGCGTCTTCAGCATATAGCTCTGAGAGGACTGGAATATTTTGCATGGAGTCAGTACGTGCCTCCATTTAAAATGGTGTACGCCTTTCACCCTTATGCCCATAAAAACCTTTGTACACCAGAATGTAAATAAAGATTGGTTTATTACATGGAAATGAAACATATAAAGTATATAGCCTTCAGTCATCAAGGTTCCACATATGCGGACAGCAATACAATCCTTAAACGTATACACCTTAGCTGTAAAGAGTAAAGAGTCATTCGCTACTGAAAAACCTAGAAATCTCAGGAATATGTCTTCACTAAGGAGAAGAGAAAACCAGGTATGTGGGGATATATCTGTACTTGCAGCAAGCAGAGCACGTTGTCAGGGATATGAGATAAATAATAATAATAATAAGTTTTATTTATATCCCGCCCTCTCCAACCGAAGCCGGGCTCAGGGCAGCTAACAACAATAAAACAGTACAAAAGTACAGCATAAACAACATTCTAAAATCATTCATTATAAAATTAATTAATAAAATTTTCAGTGGACAAATAAAGTGAAAGAAATGAAAAAATGAAAACAAAATGTGCTTTAAACTGTAATACAATACAGTTGTACAATACAACTAAATATGAATTTGTGAAATTGAGCATGATTAAGTGGGCACAAGGTGTGGGTCACAATATTGATTATGAATTATGGAGAAAGTTGTGGAAAATAAATATGAAATTCACAACATGTTTTGCAATAAAAGAAAATATGATGAAAATGACCCACAGATGGTAATTTAACACCCACAAGATTGGTGAAAATGTCTAAAAAAGAAAAAGGTAAATGTTGGAAGTGTAATGAAAATGAGAGATTTTTTTCCACATGTGGTGGTCCTGTAAAGTAATTAAGGAATATTGAGAAACTATATATAATGAATTTTTTTAAAAGATAATATTAAAAACTTTCCCTACCTGTGATTTTCCTCTTGGGAAACAACGGAATTCCCCAAAAAACGAAAGAGTTTATTACTATACGCCACTGCCGCAGCTAGAACCGTTTTGGCACAAAGGTGGAGAACAAGTATAGTACCCACTAAGGAGGAATGGCTGTGTAAAATGTTTCTTTTCTCTTTTTTAATAGATTTTTTATTAAGAATTTAAACAAAACATATTATCTTAAAACATATCATCCTTAATCCCCCCCCATTTCCCCCCTCTCCCCTCCCTCCCATGAAACAAACACCCCGACTTCCCTCAGTTCCAGTCTCTGGTTTCTCTATAAATGCTATTCTCTGCTTGTTAGAAATTTGTATAGATCCTTAATTTGTCTAGCTGTTTATTATCAATAAAAAGTTTGTGAGTGTTTATTCAAAACCTGCCAAGGAGTTCAATTCACTTTGTTGCATCTTTAAGTACTTTGTAAAAGGTTCCCATTCATCTTTAAAGTCACAGTTATCCTTGTCCCATAGTGTGTCAATTTTGCCAGTTCTGCAGAGTCCATCAATTTCTCTTGCCATACTTCTTGAGTCGGAGTTTCCTCAGTCTTCCATCCTTGTGCTATTATCCTCTTGCTGCCGTTGTCGCATACATACAAATATTTTTCAACTTCTTTGACAGGTCTTTCCCTACAATCCCTAACAAAATGCTTCAGGTTTTTTGACAAATGTTAGATGGAACATTTTCTTCAATTTGTTGTATATCATTTCCCAAATTTTTTTAATTACATTACAATCCCACCACATATGATAAAAAGTCCCCTCCTTCTCCTTACACTTTCAAGATATATTTGAGCTAGTTTTGTACATTTTCCCTAACTGCACTGGTGTCATATACCATCTATACATCATCTTCATATAATTCTCCCTCAGCAAAGAACAATCTGTAAATTTTAGATCAATATTCCATAACCTTTCCCAATCTTCCATCATAATGTTGTGACCTACATCTTGTGCCCATTTGATCATGACTGAGTTTACCTCTTCATCTTTTGTCTCTCATTCTAGCAGTATGCTGTATGCGGCCTTCAGTAATTTCACTTTCCCCTCAATCACTTCGATCTGAAACCTAGATCTTGTATAGCTAAACCCTTTCTTACTGTCTTCTTTATATGTTTCGTATAATTGCCGATAGTGCAACCAACTCTGAAAATGATCTTTGATCTCGTCATAATCTCTTAACTTCCATTTCCACCGTGGTCCTTTAATAAATCAACATATGTGAGCCATTTTCCTTTCTTTCCAAGAGGTTTCAGTAGTAATGCTTCATGTGGTGAAAGCCACCAAGGGGTCTTTTGTTCCAGTAAGTCTTTATATCTCTCCCATACTCTCATTAGTGATTTCCTAATTATATGGTTATAAAAACTTCTGTGAACCTTTCCTTTCCCATACCATAAATATGGGTGCCAGCCAAATCTGTTATCGTGTCCTAATTCTAATTCTAATGCCTCTTGCTTATCCAACCTCATCCAGTCGCTGATCCATACCAGACAAGCAGATTCATAGTACAATTTGAGGTCTGGGTGGGCAAACCTGGCTCTATCTTTTGTGTCTGTAAGTATTTTATGTTTTATCCTTGGCCTTTTGCCTCCCCCCCCCCCCGATAAATTTTGAAATCTCTTTCTGCCATTTTTTAAAGCATTCATCTTTCAGGATGACTGGTATTGATTGGAAAAGAAATAGCATTTTTGGCAACACATTCAATTTAATCTCCGATATCTTGCCTAACAATGAGAGATTCATTCTGCTCCATATTTCTAAATTTCTTTTTACATCAAGCCAGATTTTTTTCATAATTATTTTTAAATAGGTTTATATTTCTTGATGTTAACCAAATCCCTAAATACTTGACCTTTTTGTGGACTTCAATCTCAATATCTTGTTCTAACTCTGTTTTTTTCCTCTTCCTTCATATTTTTAACTAATAATTTTGTTTTATTCCTATTTAACTTGAATCCTGCCACTTCCCCAATTTTTTTCTATTACTTTGGGGAGTGAAGTTTTAGGTTCTTCCACTGTTATCACTAAATCATCTGCATATGCTTTTAACTTAAATTCGCTTTTCCCAGTTTTTACACCAATAATCTCTTTGTCTGCTCTTATGTTTCTGGCAAGTACTTCCAGTACCAGGATGAACAATAATGGTGAAATTGGGCAACCTTGTCTCGTTCCTTTTTGGATCTTACAGTCATCCATTTTCACCTGATTTATAATTAATTTTGCTTTTTGTTCTGAGTAAATCGCTGCTATTCCTTTTAGAAATTTAGAAGCACTTCTAATTTGTTCTAGCAGTTTTGTCATGAATTTCCAAATGTGTAAAATGTTTCAATATGCCAAACTGGCTGGTCTGACGTACAGGATAAGAGAAAATGAAGATAAGTAAAAAAAAGAGGAATGGATAATGTTTCTTGAAAATTTTAAGAACCAGTATAAACAATACATAGCTTAGCAAGACTTTAGTAAATCTAGCAGAGATGAAATAGAGTTTTTAATAGATAACAAACTGGGTGATTAAAAAGATGTGGATTACGCAGAGTAGTAGAAAAGCAAAGGGACCAGGATAAGGGTGGAAGGGAAGTCATATGGTATATGTATACATGTTGTATTTGGTACGAAGCTGTAAGTGGAACAGGGAGAGGGGAGAGAGAGGGAAGGGGCTAAGTATGCTCCCTGTTCCTGTTTTTGAAAATGCAAATGAAATAATAAATGGGGGGGGGGACTGTAATACAATACAATATTTATGTATATAAGTAATGCTGTTATTCCGACGAGTATATAATTATTAACAAGTCATTATAATTTTACAAGTGCGTTCCAAGTGTCATTATATTTATCCATACACTTTTATATCTCCCCCCGGGCCTTTGTTCTGAAATGTAGGGAGATGCCCGGGCAGTGGGACATCTCTGCAGCATGCTGAGGAGACGTAACCTTCTCACTACACTTCTGATTGCTTTGCCATGGGGTCTTCTTCTTACATTGTGGCATCAGTACCCAACTACCCGCTACCTCAGCATTCTGAGAAGTAAGTGTACCAGGCCCAACCTTACAAAGAGCTTCTGTGACTTTTTCCCCATTGCAGTTACAGTGCTCGGGGATATTTAAAATACAAATGTGAATGTGATGAAGGTCTTGGTGGCACTGCAGTGGGTGTTTTATGATTTATTCTCTCTATTCGACTTGCCTTAGAGGAAACAGATGAAAACGTGAAGGCCAAATCTCTCTTCAATAATAGCACACCACTCACGAGGGAGGATGGACTCTCATCATGTGCTCGGCAGCCGGCTGTTGGGGCAGCTCCAAAAGCAATCCGGAGCTATGTGTACTCCAGGCCTCCCCCATGGTCAGAGGCTCTGCCTTCCATCTTTGTGATCACCCCTACCTACAGCCGGCCAGTGCAGAAGGCTGAGCTGACCCGTCTGGCCAATACTTTCCTCCACGTGCAGAACCTCCACTGGGTGGTGGTGGAAGACGCTCCCAGAAGGACCAACCTAGTATCCAATCTGCTGGAGAAGACAGGGATCAATTTTACGCACCTGAACGTTGAGACGCCTAAGAGTCTGAAGACCCTTTCTGGTTCCCATCTCAAAAAGCAAGGGGCACGTTGCAGAGGAATCTTGGACTGCATTGGCTGAGGGAGAATTTCAACACCACACCACCACCAGAGGGTGTGGTCTACTTTGCTGATGATGACAACACCTATAGCCTAGAGATCTTTGAAGAGGTATGAGACTCGAGTTTAGGGTGGTTTCATCTTTGGGGGTTTTTTTGTTTTTGTTTTTTTTAAATTTATTGATTTTCAAACACAAAATAAACACAAACAATAAACAATACACAAACAAACAAACATTAAACATGTATAATTTTCATAACCTTCTTTTCATAAACCTTGCTTCCCGGACTTCCCCATACCTCCCCTTTTCTGCATCCTTATTTTTACATTTCTTCAGCAACTCCCTCAGTTAACCAATTAATCAATTCATTTTCTTTTAGATTCTTCTCTAGCTTTCAAATACAGCTACAATTCTCTATTTCCCAATCCCTTGACATTTTAACACTCATCAATTTTACAACAGTTTTTGAGATACGTTTTAAATTTCTTCCAATCTTCTTCCACCGCCTCTTTCCCCTGGTCACGGATTCTGCCAGTCATCTCCGCCAGTCCCATATAGTCGATCACCTTCGTCTGCCATTCTTCCAACGTGGGTAGTTCTTGTGTCTTCCAATACTTTGCTAAAAGAATCCTTGCTGCTGTAGTGGGGTGGTTTCATCTTTGGGGTCTATGATTCAGGCACATTGGTTGAGTGCATTGCCTAGCCATAGTGGACAGCGTTATTTGGGTGGATAGGAAGAGATGCCAAGCCGATGACAATGGAGAGGTGCTGGAGCTCAGTGGTAGAGCACATGTTCTGGCCTTGGGTGCATACCCCCATTGGATTCAATGGGATTTATTTCCGAATAGACATGGTTAGGATTGTGCTGTTTGTGCTACCATTTTTTACAACGCCATTGCTGTGCCCATTAACCTGTCGGGCTTTTCAGAAGGTGGGTGCATAGAAGGGAAGTTGGAGGAATCAAAATGGAACACTTGAGGAATTCTCAGAGGAATGGCCATCACAATTTTGTTTTCTTTCTGACAAGCAGATGCGCTACACAAAGAAGGTGTCCGTCTGGCCAGTCGCCTTTGCTGGGGGCCTCAGGTACGAGTCCCTAAAGCTGAGCCCGGCAGGCAAAGTGGTGGGCTGGAAGGTGGCGTATGACCCTAAGCGGCCCTTTGCCATTGACATGGCTGGCTTTGCCATCAGTCTCAGGCTGATCCTGGAGAAGCCTCAGGCCACTTTCAAGCTGGACAGAGTGAAACCAGGTTACCAAGAAACTAGTATTCTGCAGGATCTTGTTACGATGGATGAACTGGAGCCCAGAGCTGCCAACTGCACAAAGGTTAGCATGGCCTGAATGTTTGCGCAACAGCCTTGCCCCCCCTGCCATCCACTTCCACCATGGAAGGTGCCTCTCATTGGAGATTATGCAGGCCAAAGGTGGATTTGGGGGAGAGCGTCCAGTTCTGTTGCATTAGGCACAGAGCTTCTGTTGCATTGGGCACAGAGCTGTAACTATGACATACAACGGAAGGCGGGGGGGAGGACCGGATTTTAGTGTCACACAGGGGTGCCACTGAAATTTGAGACACCCAGGTCTGCCATGGGGTAGGCACCCACTGCTGAGTGTTTCCAGCATGTTTTAGCATCTTACTGCAATGAACGTTAACGTTTTACTGATATTTTATGAAATGTCTTATGGCTCAACATTCTGTGGCTACAGAGCGTGCTTAGTCTTCATTTGGGGTATTCCCATACACTGGGGTTCTGCCAAGCCCTCCGATCCCCCTCCCTCTTGTGCAAATATGGGGGTTGTTTGGTTACAAAGGGATCAGTGCTCATGGAATTGTTCGTTGGTTTGTTTCATATTCTGCTTCATTGTAAAAAATAAAATAAAAACCCACCTCAAAGCAGTTTACAGAAAGATAAGCAATAAAATTAAATTTCAAGTGTAATTTAAGTACACAGTTATAAAACTAAAACAGATTAAAATTACCTCAACTGAGATGGATCCCACATTAGTAGGAGTGATTGTTATTTAATTGGTTTTTGTTTTTGTTTTTTTCATTTTTAAAAGGGAAGGTTATTGCTTTGTTTTCTTTTTTGTTTTAATTATTTACTTGGTGTTTTTATCTTATATTTTATTCTGTGAACCGCCCAGAGATCTTGTGACAAAGGACGGAATATACATTTAATTTGTTAATTCATTAATAGAAAGAGCAGTATCAACATGCCCTTCCAACAAGGCTTGCAGCTCCTATCGATGTATACATGTTCCAGAGATTCTTCTGTTCAGACAGTACAGTTCTGTTCAGATGTACAGTATATGTTCCAGAGGCTTCACGGATGGCTGCCATGCATATTTGCCAATATTTGCCTTCAGGCTCAGCCATGACATCCTAATAAGGTGCACATTCTCTCTGTAGGTCTTGGTCTGGCACACGAGGACGGAAAAGCCAGGACTGGGTAATGAAGGCAAATACGGATTCACAGATCCAAGGATGGAGGTGTAATCGGGAAATCAATAAGAAGACAAAAAGAGACAATGCAATGCATCTTAAGTTATTAAATGGTATGATGTATTTTTGTTGTTGCTGATTCTCTCATCTAGTTCAAGACTGATTCAAAGAGAAATTATATTTCAAGAATATATGTGGGGGAGGAATGCTGATACCTCCTTCAGATATCCACAATCCTTTGCACAAACTTAATTTCAAGCTCTGTTGAAGATTGTATTTAGCTGCGTTTAAGGAAAAAATGCACTGGTTTAATTTCTGAGGCAGATGCGTGAAAATGAGAAAGACGGACCTTTGGCTGTGAAGATAGCTTCATGCATGGTGCTTAGATAGTCAGTCTAACATTGTCATTTCCCTCACCCACCCTGCTCCGCAGCTAAGCTCAGATGATACTCAGAATAGCTACCGTACCCTTGGCATGCTTCAATGGAGACTGTTGTAGCTTTTAAAAAGCTATCAAGTCAACTTTTAGTTCAAGAAGACCCATAAATAAATAAATCTGCATTTAAAAAGGAAACCTGTGACCTTGATAAGAACTTCAGTTTGGATTCAGAAAACTATGCCTGTTTAATTGGGATTTGAAAGGATGGGAAGAATGAAAACAATGCAGTCTAAAAGGGAACTTAACAGTGAAACCTATGCACCTTTCCCCAGAAATTTAATAAGCATGCATAGGGTTGCAGCCTATTTAATATATAGTACCATTTTAGATCTGGAGGGACGTGCTTTAAATAGAGGATGGACTATTGTCTTAACTCCACAACAACTTAATACAAACAATAGTATATCTGCTTCATTTTATTAGCATCATCACTTTTAGGGACTCTGGAGCCACACCCTTTTAATCAAAGTCAGCTTTTATTCCAGCACTACTGTCTAGCCTTTCAAAGCCCTATTCGGACATTCAAAAGAATGTTTGTTGTTTAGTCGTTTAGTTGTGTCCGACTCTTCGTGACCCCATGGACCAGAGCACGCCAGGCACTCCTGTCTTCCACTGCCCCCCGCAGTTTGGTCAAACTCATGCTGGTAGCTTCGAGAACACTGTTCAACCATCTCGTCCTCTGTCGTCCCCTTCTCCTTGTGCCCTCCATCTTTCCCAACATCAGGGTCTTTTCCAGGGAGTCTTCTCTTCTCATGAGGTTGCCAAAGTATTGGAGCCTCAGCTTTAGAATACCACCCCATTTTTGTGCAGTTTTGTGATTTCTCCCATCCCCCACTAGGTTTACGGAGCTGAAGTCAGTGGGATTTTAGGCAAAATGTTTGTTTCTTTATTAAAGTATTTGGAACCCACTACCAGTGCAGTTTACAAATTTATAACACAGTATCTCTCCACACACTTACAATTTAAGACCTGGAAAATAAAAGAAAAAGTATTGAGTATATGGAATGATCTGAGACTCAAATGCTCATACTAATGAAACCAGTATAGAGCTATTATGAAGGTTGACTGGGAACTGACTATAATGACTGTGACTAGACGCTTACAAGGTGATGGTAGAAGAGGTCCAGACTAGATCTGATAGTGGTAGTTCAGCATGTTTACTTCCAGAATATCCACAATTAATTAGCAAGGGGTGAGCAGGCTGAAGATTCACTTCAACCGGTGGAGAGAATTTCACAGACATGAACAACTTAGATCTTATGATCCTAATCAGGGGACTCAGCTAGACTGGTGAAAAAGAAGTGATTTATATGTATTGTATGTGCAAAGCGAGTGGTGCTGTGGGCTAAACCACTGAGCCTAGGGCTTGCCAATCGGAAGGTTGGCAGTTCGAATCCCTGCGACAGGGTGAACTCCCATTGCTCAGTCCCAGCTCCTGCCAACCAAGCAGTTCAAAAGCACGTCAAAGTGCAAGTAGATAAATAGGTGCCGTTCTGGTGGGAAGGTAAACAGCGTTTCTGGATGCTGCTCTGGTTTCACCAGAAGTGGCTTAGTCATGCTGGTCACATGACCTGGAAAATCTGTCTGCGGACAAACGTCAGCTCCCTCGTTCAGTAAAGCGAGATGAGCACCGCAACCCCAGAGTCGTTCGTGACTGGACTTAACTGTCAGGTGTCCTCAGATGGATTAATGGCAAAATATTATAAAAATTAAGTAACAGCTGGTAAATCCATTCAAAGATCTGATGAATGAGATTTTAAAAACAGGTGAAATCCCAGGAACATGGAAATAAGCTTATATTACAGTGATTCCAAAACAAGATTCTGATTTGCTGCAAATAAAAAATTATAGGCCTATTTCTTTATTAAATAATGATTATAAACTATTTGCAAATATCTTAGCCACTAGAATGAAAACAATATTAAGAGAGTGTATACATCAAGATCAGGTAGGATTTCTTCCAGGTAGACAAATGAAAGAGAATATAAGAAATATTTTGAATGTAATAGAGTACCTGGAGGTAAAAAATGAAAAAAAGCAGCAATGATGTTTATGGATGCTGGAAAAGCTTTTGATAATGTTTCTTGGGATTTCATTAAAAAAATTGCTTGAAGAAATTGATTGTGGATCTAAATTTTTAAAAGGAATAGAAGCAATATATTCAGAACAGGAGGCCAAGCTAATTGTAAATCAGGTGATAACGGATGAGTGCAAGATGCAAAAAGGAACTAGACAAGGATGCCCGCTGTCACCACTGTTGTTCATTCTGGTCCTGGAAGTACTTGCAAGAAATATAAGAGCAGATAAAGAGATTATAGGGATAAAAACTGGAAAAAGTGAATTTAAATTGAAAGCATATGCTGATGATTTAGTAATTATGGTGGAGGAGCCAAAAAATTCTCTTCCTAGAGTGATAGAAAAGATTTGAGAATTTGGGGGAGTGGCAGGATTTAAATTAAATAGAAATAAAACTAAGCTATTAGTAAAAAAATGAAGAAGAGAAAAGAGAGCTGAAGCAAAGTATTGAGATAGAAATCCATAAAAAAGCAAAATACTTCGGGATATGGTTAAGAGCAGGAAACATAAAAGTGTATAAAGACGATTGTGAAAAAGTGTGGTCTGAGATAAAAAGGAATTTAGAAATATGGAGTAGAATGAACCTCTCCCTACTAGGAAAAATAGCAACGATAAAAATGAATGTATTGCCAAAAATGCTCTTTCTCTTTCAGACAGTCCCAGTAATGGTGAAAGATGACTGCCTCAAAAAATGGCAGAAGGATATTTCTAAGTTTTTTTTGGGGGGGGGCAAAAGGGCAAGGATTAAACATAAAATACTTACAGATATAAAAGAAAGAGGCGGGTTTGCCCTCCCAGACCTTAAATTGTACTATGAGGCTGCGTGTTTGGTCTGGATTAGGGACTGGATAAAACTGGAAAAGGAAGAGGCATTAGATTTGGAAGGCCATGATAATAGATTTGGATGGCATGCATATTTATGGTATGGGAAAGGAAAAGTTCATAAAGGGTTTTATAATCATATAATTAGGAGATCATTAATGAGGGTGTGGGAGATATATAAAGGTCTATTAGAACAAAAAAACACCCTGGTGGCTATCACCAACTGAAGCTTCATTGCTCAAACCGCTTCGTAAAAAGGGGAAATGGCCTACATACAGAGATTTGCTGAAGGATCAAGAAGGAAAATGGAAATTAAAAGATTATGAGGAAATAAAAGACCATTTTCAGAGTTAGTTACATTACAGACAACTACATGAGATGTACAAGGAAGACAACAAGAAATGGTTTAGTTATACAACTTCTAGATTTTAAAAGGAAGTGATAGAAGAAGAAGTGAAGCTGTTGAAGAAAGCATATAGTATTTTGCTAGAATGGGAAACAAAAGATGAGGAGGTCAAAACGGTTATGATCAAGTGAACACAAGATATAGGACATAATATACAATTTGAGGACTGGGAAAAATTGTGGAAAGTAAATCTGAAATTTACAGATTGTTCTCTTTTGAAAGAAAATTACATGAAAATGATGTATAGATGGTATATTACACCAGTACAGATAGCAACAATGTTCAAAACCGGGTCAAACACATGTTGGAAATGTAAAGGAAAAGAAGGGACTTTCTATCATATGTGGTGGGAATGTAGAGAAATGAAAATTTTTTGGGAAATGATATACAATGAACTGAAAGAAATGTTTAAAAACCAGAAGCATTTCTGTTAGGGATTCTAGGACAAGACCTGCCAAGAAAAATAAAGAATTTATTTATGTATGCTACAACAGCGGCAAGAGTCTTGATAGCACAAGGATGGAAGAATGAGGAAATCCCAACGAAAGAACAATGGCAAGAAAAATTGATGAGTTATGCAGAACTGGCTAAATTGACATACAAACTGTGGGACAAGGACAACTGTAACTTTAAGGAAGAATGGGAGCTTTTCACAAATTATCTAAAAAGACAACAAAATTAACTGGACTCCTTGGAAGGGTTCAAATAAACATACACAAATTTATTGGTTGATAACATGATAGATGGATAACGTAAGGATATGTATAATTTTATAACATGCAGAAAATAATATGGGCTGAGAAATCAGAGAGAGGAACTGAGGGAAGTGTCTGAAGGGGAGGGTTAGAAGGGGGAAAATAATGAATATGATATGTTTTGATAGTTTTTATGTTGAAGTTGTTAATAAAAATATTTTTTTTTAAAAAAAAAATTAACGTCAGGGGTCCTTTACCTTTATGTGCGATATAACAGTGTACCACCAGATGGCGCTGTGGGGTTCCATTTTTTTCCTGTACTGTACCTGTTTTCACTGTTTAAATTTACAACATGTTTAACTGAAACGCTTCTTTGATGTGTCTAGATCCAGCACAGTACTTATTTATTATTACTATTTGTTAGGGCTGCCATACGCCCTAACAAGGAAAGAAATGAAACTGGATTCAGGAAGCAGTGTCTGCAGTGATACTGCTGATAAACATCAGGCAATAGGAAAAAGGAAGCAAACCACAGAGATGCTGTCAGCATGTTTTGAGGCTTCGCCAGGTCTGTTCAACCTTCTGCAGCTGCTCCTGCTGTCACCCACTGTTGTATCTGGAGCTTTAATCCTAGAATAATAGGCAGGTAGGACTTTAGAATGTAGTAATCTGATTGGCCGTGGGAGCCGTCCAATCTAGCTCCATAAGGGAAGTTTGAACCAGCCTATCAGGTGTGACCTGGGGTGTGAATAAAGGATATATAGCCAGGCAAGCACTGACAGACACACCCAATGACTGACAGTTTTTATTACAAACTGATATAAACTCCACAAAACTGAAGGTTCTCTCAGAGTACATTTCACCCAGCCAGCTGCCCGCCTTCCAATTTCCATGTTTTGTACCCCCAGGCCCCCACACACCCACAAAAGGTATAAAGAAATGGTGTCACAAAGAAGCAAAGGAATCCGAACATTCCCACTTCTCCTGACAAAAACAAAAACACCCCACCTTTGTTCACCCACCACTCTGAAGGCCTCAAACACACACATGCACACCATCGTCTGATTCTTTGGACATGATTTCCCAAAATCATGTAGCATCAACCACAGAGGCTTCGTAGCTTAAAGTGTAACATTTTGTCCATTTGACAACACTGTTTTTACATTGGCATAGCATTTGGGAGAGCCTTAATGGATATTAATTACATTTAACGAAGGCTGGATTTCTCTGAAAACCAAAACAGGATCAAAACATTTTTGTGTGTGTTCACATTGGAGTAATTGGGGCATTTGCTTTAGGCCGTGTTTGTTTGTTCAGCCTCCAATCTTTCTATTTACATGGGCTAAGATGGAAACCATCTGAGTCTGACTCTTCTTGGCTGACAGTTCCTGGGGACTAATAAAAAGGGGGTTATTGCTTGCAACAAATGTTCCCGTTTGCTTCAATGTTTGATTAAGCAGTCTGAAGCTAGGTCGTTCTGTGTAGAAGAGCACCTTGAGAATTGTGTGCTATCCACCTGTCTAGACTGCCGATTACGGCTATCTAGAAATGGCCATGTTTTATTAAAAAGTTAGTTATGAGGATACATGCAG